ACTTCTAGCCATTGACAAACCTAGATATACAGGGTTGGGGGGGGCAGGGGGGAGAGAGAGAGATGGATGATACATGAGCAAAAGAGTAATAATAATACTGTTATCAGTTGTTATTTATCAGCCCAGGGGAAGGGACCAGGTTTCCACAGAGGAGGGCCTATATCACTACGGTGTTCTATGCAGTCTGTGCCAGGGCTGTCGCTACACTGAGGCTGGCAGGAGGAGCCACTGACCTCCACCATCTCCCGGCCACAGTGGACAGCCAGAGCTCTGAGACTCAAGTCAGCCGGCCAGCCTGTGACAACCAAGCCAGCCTTGGCTCAAACTGGGGCTCCAGGCCCAAGGAAAACATCCCTTCGGTTCCATCTCTACTGAGGAGCAGACCTTGACATCTGTGAAACACAGCCACCCAGACATAACATACCCCAGAAGGGGCCGAGCCTAGGAGCTGTGTCTCAAAACTCCTCCAGAGCCTTCCCCGAGACTCCTTTTGTGCTTCTCCGGCCTGTCTCTCCCTATGTCTTCCTCAGAAGAGAAGGGGCTGGGGGGAGACAGACACCAGAAGTGAGAGAATGAGTCTGAATACATGACCAGATCTGAAGGTACCTGAGATGCCTCACTTTTTGGAAGTGAGTAGTCCTAAGTGTGCTATAGGTCCTCTGTGAGCTCTCAGGACTCGCCATCCTGAATGTCCCCTGGGGCCGATCCAGCTCTGCGTTCTGTGCCCACAGGCCAGAGACACCAGCAGCTAAGACCCTCCCGCAGGCGTCCTGTGCTGTAATTCACAGCGTGCATCACAGCTTGTTGTTTTTGTATGTGATTATTTGATTATTAAATTACTCAAAAACCACAAAAGTCAGGAACTAAATTGAATCTTGTTATTCCCTAGACACATGCCCAGGACTCAGCACAGAGCAAGCTCATGTAACATCTATTGAATAAACACACAGGAAGGAATGAGAACCCATCAGTTCTGAGTGCCACATTTTATGAGAGGAGCTGACAAACTATAGCATAACCAGAGATGGCAGCCAGGACCTTGAGTGTTCTGGAGACCTCGTCACATGACAAAAGGTTGAAAGAACAGAAGAGATAGACACAGAGAAGAGGAGATGGAAGAGGGAGCTTGGACAATTGTTTTGTGAAATCACACGGAGGAATAATTTGATGAGCTTTGATTTATATTGTTCCAGAAGGCCGAGTGGGAGCCAGGGAGCAGAGCTCCCAGGGGGATCGTAGCTCCAAGCAGATGGCCATTCCCCACGGCTGGAACCACCCAGGTAGGGGGCAGGCTGCCTCCTGCAGAGGGCCTCCCCCACCAGAGGGGATGGCCACTCAGAGGACGGACACCACCAGGGGGAGGGGCACAGGATGGGCCTGCACCAACTGCTCAGACTACCTGGAAGATTCCAGATTCATCTCTCCCATGACGCAGGAGGAGAACAAGTTTTCATGTGACATGAGTCCTGTGAGGACCTGAGCAAAACTATGAAAAGGGAAAATCCGACTTCAGCGTCCCTCACTTACCTTTTCAGAACCTTATCATCTCTGCTTGTAAAACTCCTAACACTAGCATTCTTGTCTTGGATGTGAGTAAAGGAAGAAAAGAACTTAAGAGGTTACTGCCTTAATATATGCCAATCCGCACTGGGAAAGATGGGGCCTCGTGAGACCAATGAGCAGACCTAGTGGTGGGCCTGCAGCTCAGTAGCGTCTGAATGGGAACGTCCTCCGACCGACCAGCCGACGAGGGCTCCGGCACAGCACTAGTCAGGGGCACCGGGGCTGGACTTGGGGGCAGAGTCCTGGGTCTGAGTCCTGGCTCCGCCTGACACTGACTGCGCCAGTTACGCTGCTGGTTAGTTTCTTAGCTTCTCTCAGCTTCACTTCCCTCACCTGTAAAACAGGGTTACTGCCCCCCTTGTCGAACACAAACATGCAAGGAGCAGAGAGAGGCTGTCTGAGGGGGACACAGGGGGAGAAACACCAGCTCTGACCCAGGCAGAGGGCTGCGCTGGGCTCTCCGCCACGCCTGGTCCCTGCCGGGAGCCCGGTGCTCCCTCCTGGCTCCTGGGCTCCCCGGTTCTCTCCCACCATCCCAGGCATGCCCAAAGGCCTCCGAACTCCCTCCCTCCCACAACCTCTTCCAGCACCCCAGAGGATTTCCTCCCCCTCCGCCCTTCCCATCCCCAGAGGCATCTGCCTGCTTCAGAGGGAGACAGTTCCCATAAAGGAAAAACCAGCTTAGCCAATTCAGGCCACTAAACCCTTGGGTTTCTTTATGGCAAATAAAGGGCTTCCTTATTCTACTGCACAGAACTGACTCAGAGCAAATTAAAACTGATTTCCACCTCAACCTGATGACCTCGCTCCTCACTGATGAGATGACAACACACACACACACAAAAAAAATCAGCTAAACTGCAGAACTGGGGATTTACTTGAGATTCAAGACATATTTTCTGACAAAAACAAACTAGTAAGAAAATGGCATCTCCTGGCTGTTCTCTCTGTGTGCTGCTTTTTTGTTTTGTTTTGTTTTGCTTGGCGGGGGGCAGAGAACTGGACATTTCTAGTATAGATTAAATCACAGGTAGCCAAACTTTTTCTATAAATGGTGAGGTAATAAATATTTTAGGCATTTGTGCCCAAAGATATTACATAGGTGCTTACATATGACAAGAGAGAAAACAAATTGCCACAATTTTTTATTGATAAAACTCAAAACATAAACATAATAATTGAATACAATTTTTGCAATACAGGTCTAACAATGAGAAAAATGTAATTCCTTTTTAAGGAGTAACATTTCATTTAATTGAGGTTCAAAATTACTGCTCCCTTATCTTCAAAATCCATTGCAAATGTCCATCTGCTGATGCTGCTGTGTAATGAGATTCTTCCATCATTAGAAATGCCTTTTCACACAGACAGATATTGCCAAATAGTGACATCAATCCATAATTATGATTTTAATTAAGGAAATTCATCACTTGGAAGTTACTAATAGGCTTCTACTAGATTTATGTCTTGGTATTTTCCTTAAAACAGAGCATTACATTAAAGAGTAATTCCTTCCAACTGAAGGTTTAGGAAAAAGCTCTTCAACTGCATGAATTTTGAAAAAGAAATTTCCGCTACACTTGCATTGAGGTCCAAAAAAAAAAAAAACACTGCTGGAACTGTAATTTGAGCTCAGAATATACATCTGCTACAAATTTGTGTGGCAATGAAGACCCCACTTCTTATTTTAACCTTGTATAGCACAGGAAGCCTGTAGAACAGTTTGACATGACTTGTGATTCAAACAGTGTTAGCTGTCTTTGAAATAATTTTACCACAGTGTAAGTTTCACCTCTAAGCGCTGTTTTCCTTGTAACTTTAGGTTGAATTCGTTAGGATTCAATTACCGAGTCTGCCACAAAAGCTAATTTCCAAGGCCATCTGTGTTCAAAACCAGTGGACGAGGATGATTCTTCTCCTTCAATAAACATTTCAATCTCAGCCTTGATCTCAAGACTTCACAGTGAAACATGGCCACTGTTCAGCCATCGAACTGTTGTGTGCAGGCAAGTGAGGACAGCAGCTTCTATTTCTGACCCAAAAACCACGGAAGTGAGGATGGTTAAGTTCATGAGAGCAAATTAAGTTCACCACTGACACCACTGGTTCAATAACATGATCCAAACGTTTCCTTCAAAGTATGACTGGGATTTCAAAATTGTAGAATAGATAAACAAGATTACACTGTATAGCACAGGGAAACATACACAAAATGTTACGATAAATCACAGAGAAAAAAATGTGACAATGAGTGTGTATATGTCCATGAATGACTGAAAAATTGTGCTGAACACTGGAATTTGACACAATTACATTGTAAAATGATTATAAATCAATAAAAAATGTTAAAAAAAAAAGAAAAAAGAAAAGTATCTGCTGGTGACTAACACAATAATGAATCATAGACTTTAATGACACATTTTCATGAGCTTGAAAAATTTTCCAACTCAGCCCTTTTCTTCTCCAAATGTATTTTTACCATTAATTGTAACACAGCTTGCAGATTCCACCTCAGGGAATTAGTACTTTCTCTGCTTTGAAAATATCCATGCAGGCAGTTGTTCCACACAGACTGTTCACGGAGGCTAATTCTTTAGTGTCTTCAAACTCAGCATTTACTCCTCAATAAACAGCAACTGAGCAGCATCAGAAACATTCTGTCAACTCCTCAAGAACCAAAGAAAATCACTCAGAATTACTTGCCTTGTTTTTAGCTGAATATTGATGTTGTAGCCTCTCTTTTTCCCAAAAGCCTAGTCTTGTTAAACAAATTTATTTCCTCTGGACATATTTCTTCACCTGCTGCAATCAAATATAATTTAATTAACTCACCACTGGTAACTAGTTTTCCTTGCTTAGCTAACAAATGGGCCATTCAGAAACTTACCTTGGTTGTGGTCTCATTTTCATTTTTTGTAAAGAAATTCTGCTTCCTGCCTCCAACCGTGCCTTCCTTCCCCACCCCATTCAAATGCCCAGCAGTGCCAGGTGCAGATGCTCACCCCATTCATGAACTTGATTGCCTTACAGTGTCCACAGTCTGGGACACATGCAGCAGACCCTCAGATCAGTGGGGATGTTAGAGGTTGTCTGGTCAATTTTCCCTGACTCCAAGCAGCCCTGACTGCTAAAATTAAGTTTTCGTGTCACAGATAGTTTATTGGGACGCAGTGATGCTCCTTTGTTATGTGTTGTCCGTGGTTGCTGTTGTGCGGTAGCAGCTTCACATCTTCACACCGGTGCTGGGTCAGCTACATGTGCAGTTATGACTTGACGGTGTTTCCAGTGCCAGGCTTACCATTCTATTGTAACATAATATTTTTTTTGTTATTACCAGTGCACACCTATCAGGTCAAAGCAAAAGAAGAAAACTAGACTTCAAATGTTACACTTTAGGGCACAGAGAAGTAGAGGGCTTTTCGTTGGTGTTGTTATAGAAATAGAGGGCAAAGTATTACATTTATTATGCAGTCACACTACAGCTGTGCTAAAGCAATGTAATGCATATCGATGTTATCACACTAAGCACCCATCACAACGTTCCCAACTTACAGGGAGCAATGGGCAGAAAAATTAATATTTAATGTCAACTATTTCATCACAACAGAATTTCTTTACAGAAAAATGAAAATGAGACCACAACCAAGGTAAGTTTCTGAGTGGCTTAATATTACAAATATATCAGTTCATCCCAAATTAATCTAGTAAATAAATCTGTAAGTTTAATACAACAACAAATACGTCAAAAAATTTTGTTGAATGTTTGGAGATAGGTGATAACCTTAATCTAAAATTTTTATGGAAGAATAAAGATCTATGAACAGGTAAGTCAACATTTCAAAAGAAGACCAAAGAGGAGGAATGTGCCCCAGTAGGTATTAAGACATATTACACAGTCATAATAATAAAAAAGTGTGATATTATTGTAACAACAAAGAAATCAGTGAAACATAATGGAGAGCTTAGAAATTTAATCATGTTTACGTGGGAATTTAGTATACAATAAAGTAGGTACCACATATGAATGGAAAAAGGAAAGATTGCTTAATAGATGGAGTTGCAAACCTAGTTCACACTGTAGATTAAAATAAAATTGGATCTTTACTTAAAGCTACACCAAAGGTAAACAGCAAATGCAACAAAGATCTAAATGTGAAATTTAAACAACAAAGTAAATAGAAGAAAATATAGGAAAATATCTTTGTAATCTCAGGGCAGGAAGACATTATAGACAGAACTTAACATGTATACAACATAAAACAAAAATAGTGATTACTTTTATTGCATCATAATTAAAGAAGTCTGTTCACTGAAAGTCACCGTGAATAAAGTTAACAGACAAGTAACAGATTGGGAGAAATTATCTGCAATGTCCACATCTAACAATGGACTAATATAAGAATATACAAGGAACTCCTTCAAGTCAAAAAATTAACATAAAAATGGGAATGTGCTTGAACAGGTAATCAAAATACTTTAGAAACATACACAGAGATGCTCAAACTTATTAATCAGGGAAACACAAATGGAAAAAACAGTGAACTAGACTAGATAATGCTAGGTGTTGGCTGGGGTGGATGTGGGTTTAGGAAGCGCTTCTGGTAGGAAAATACAGTAGTGCAGCTGTTTCAAAGAGATATCTCAGTATTTAGTCAACTCAAGCATACACATACCCTAAAACCAGGCAACTCTACCTCTGTGTTTGGAGCCTGCCAAACACACTTCTCAGAGAGCCATAATGGATATAAGAGGGTGTTCATAATGGCACTGTTTTTCATGCTGGGGAACTGGAAGCAAACTGAGTGTCCATTACTGGGGAAGGACACAGTATACTGAGTAGGGGCACAACATGGCTCAGTCACAAGTAGTGGATGGATATACACAGAGCAGGATGGATGCTAAGTGAAAAAGGTAAGAAACAGAATGAGATCTACCACATACAGCTCTACACAAAAGAAAAGTACACAAAATAACAATGGATATTTTAAAGAACTTACACAAATTAAGAAATCCATGGTAAACTCCTTAGAACAATTGTCTGGTAGGGGAGGCACAGAGGAATGGGAGTAAAAGTTAATCAATCAATCAATCATTCCAAAAAATATCTGTACAGACCAATAGTGATAATACGCCATGAAGTGAAAAACATGATTGACTCAAATCTCTACAACTGGAACTTTTAAAAAAAAAATAGACCTTGGTGTCCTGGGTGTTGATGCTCTCAAGTCAGCAAAAAGTCTGGAGCCAAAGTCTATGAAATGTAATCATATAAGATCATAACACCGTCTGTGAGGAGGCGAGAACATCTCAGGAAAGGTGAAGCACGGGAGAGAATGAAGACCTAAGAACAAATGGATTCTGGAACTCTGACTTCAGAAGATAAAAGGAAAGTTAGTTAGACAAGGGAAAACCAAATCCTTTTCTAAATAGGAGCCATGCTTAGGCTGCCGGGTAGCTTCCAGTGTTGAACACGGCAGGGCCACAGACACACACTCCTCTTTCTGTAGAGGCTCCTACAGACAGCCCTCTAACATCCTCAGGCAGGTCCCTGCCCTTGCTCACAAAAGAATGTAGCCTTAAAAAAAGATTACAATTTGATGAATATTGGTTCAGTCGTCAGTCTGGAGGGAAAGGGAAGCCAAGGAAGCATTTGTAGGGAGGGCCTGGTTTTCCTCCTCCTCCCCTTTCCCT